CTCCAGTGATCTTGCATATGTCTTCCCCCACCAATTTAAGGACTCCCTTATCTGCACTCCAGCCTCCTCATCTACCACTCACATTAATGTTGTGTCTGTTCCAGCTCAAAAAACCTGTTAACTATCCAAACTCTTGCAAAGAAAACAGTATAAACTGAGCCAGATCACTGATCGAATTAAATTACAGGATAATCTAATCAAGATTATTAAAGTAATCACTTCCTTAAAAATAGTAATTGACAAACAAAACTTTGCCATATTCATGGGGGATAAAATTAGCTACAATACAATAGTGATTCTGCTATTTTACTCAGATGAAAACATAAGTCCAACCAGTTTTGAACTTTGTGAAACTCCCGAGAAAAAAAAAAGGGTAGCGGAAAAGTGGATCCTCTGTCAAGGCCAGTTCATACATTCTTAGAAAGTTATCTAGACATGCTACCAAGGTGAGGATATAGTTTCATGTTAGCTAGACACAAAATGAGACACATTTATATGAAACTCAAAGGAAAAAAGGAAACAAGACACAAAAGCTAAATGTCTTATTTAGTCCAAACAAAACAGGACTTTAAAGTACATGGATGCACAAAAGTCTGGAAAATGTCCATGTTCTTTTCATGTTCCAAAGTTCCATCTTCTCTCAACTTCTTTGGCCAAAAAAGTAAAGCACAAGTCTCTATGAATATAGTTGAATATCAATTTAAGATTTTTCCACCTTTCTGTGCTTTCCTAGTCAGACATCCAAATGTGTCAAACTGAGATGGAAAATTAGCCTTTTCATAGTGTGTTAACTCAGAAATTGATAAAGCACTCCAAAACTCTTGCTTTGCTTTAATAAATGTGTTACTGTATAACACTGTAATAAGATGTGTACAGAACATTTAAACATGATGGGTGTAATAGAAAGAATGCAATGAAGTGAAACCCTTAAACATGTCTTCACGTTTCAGAAGAAGCTCCAATAATTATATTCACGAGTTCAGAAACCACTACACAATGTTGCCCTCTGTTTCCAAGGAAATGTCGCTAAAGCCTGTTGGACAGGTTGTACACAAATTAGCTTCCTCATAATATCAATAGAATTCACTTCACTTTATTTTCACATTGTTTTTGTGCACACATTAAACGTTTTTCACAAATTAACTTCACAGGTTCTCTGACTGAGCAGAATGGATGCTGACAGTTGTGTCCCTGGAGAGTAATGAAATGAAAGTAAACAATAAAAATGCATCTCTCATCCCTACTGTGTCATGTTATACCATTTTAGATTATATGCTTATCAAAAATTATCTAAAAAATGATGAAAATGAATTAGTATCCGAGTAATGAGACAATAGTTATGCAATATATGTAGACAATAATGCCAAGGAGGAATTGTGGCTTCGGATACAATGCCAATGGTCAAATGTGAGAGAGACAGTTTACTCTGCTCCATCCCACCTGGAAATACTCATTAGCCCGTTAAAAGGGGCACTTAACTTTTAACCTCCTCTTTACTACTAAAAAGGAGCGAACATATGCAAATGCTAAAGAAAAAGTATGATAACGAGTGCTTATTTTTTAAATACTTTGTGGCCTTCTGCTGACCTCTAGAACACAATATCATCTTAAACTGATCAGGCAAATTTATCCTATGTTACACCACTCCATTCAGTTTTTCAGTGTAATCTTTTTATGATTAATGTTGTATGCCACGGCTTGATTAAATTAGAACAGCCACCCTGTACAACACACATTAGGTGACTGGTGAGTACAAATGAAACCCACATTATGACTACGGTGCAGCAGCCAGGCACCAATTATGTCCTTAAACACCCACTTGTGTGTGCACGAGCCACATGCACCATTCCAGGAGACAATATAGAAGCTACTAGACACACAGCTACAAACTACAGTTTAGTCAGGACAGGGCAGTCCAGTGGCCTTAGATCTTAAAATGAGATAGTCATATTCAAACAAAGAAGAGAAGATAAAGAAGAAGCACTGCAGAGCATGCACAGAAACTAAACAAAAAAAAAAAAATCAGAGAAAACTGCTATTAGTCATCAATGTACAAATGGACGTAGAGAAAACATTCAATAAACTTTGACACATATCAGTACAAACATAACAGTGAAGTGCTTGATATTAATACACTGAAATCCTTTGTTATTACAAGAGAATCTCAAAGAATGCCTCAAAACATGAATGTTTCTTTTTCAGAAAATAAAAAATGCGATGAGATCAGAAGAACAATTACCATTCACAGATACCTAGAAGTGGAAAAGGCCAGTATCAATCAGAAGCATTTTTCTGCATCAAAACATAACCATGGGTTTGCAGCCTACATATAATTATAGTCTCCTCTTGTTAAACAATGATTTTCAAGAATTTCCTAAATAAGGTTGTGCAATTACGCTCTCCCACTGTGTAGTTCTCTCGTGGATCAGTGGGCGTAACGTTATGCCAACACTTTTGTTTTATTTTGGACAATTCAGAAGGATGCTGTGTGTAAAATCTGCCTCGTGAAAATGTGATAATTGCTTACATATATTTTATCCTGAAGCTCAAAGACTGACTAATAGTATCAATCTCCGTGAATAATTATAACAACAACTGAAATTGGAAGTCAAAGGCTTGTTACAGATGGTGGTACCAACTTCTTGTTTTACCATCTCTACCATATTCAGGTTTTGTAATAATGCTCTTGCAGATTTATCAAAGACCACAGAAGTTAATAATTGCGAAGCCCACAAAAACAGGACCCCAAAATATGTATCTACATCCGGCAGATGCACCAGACAACCGTCGGAATTTGGAAATAGTTTTAATAGGCAATTGATTACAAACAAAGAAGCCATCAAACTAAAAAGATGAACATTCAACATGATGTGTTTACAAGATTAGAAAAGCAGCATCTTTCACAATCACTCCACCTTTGCTTGACCTTTTCTGTGGGTTTATTGGAAAAAAGTGGTAGTTTGATAAGAAGCTCTGGGACCAGCGTGATTCAGGACACACCAGTTCTGCATTAAGTTCAGACAGTTCTGTGCATAAATTTAACTGATTAATCAGTTTATGAAAATAGAAAACACATAATAAGCCCCTGAAATCCCACAGAATACACACAACTACACATCTACTTTGAATGTGGATGTAATTTGGGAGTTAATTTGCACATGTCACCACCCACCGAGAGAGGGACAGGAGACTCAAGCCCCAACAGAAAGTATCAAAATGGTTGTTACCTGTGAACAAATTTGGTGGCATCATAACTTGATTTTATAGGCCATGTTCTATGATGACAGGCGAGAATATAAGATATAAATAGAACTTTTGCAAAGGTACTGCTTTGAATAAAAACGCTTGCCATAATATTGCCTGAAAAAGCAAACATAATAACATCGTTATTTGGTGGCATTTAACCATGGCATTTCTAAAAAATTATGATTGGGATTTCAAATAAATAACACTGTAACACATTTTGAATGTTCGCTCAGTTGTTCTTTACAACGTTTCTTTTCATCCAGGGGGTCATTCACAACTAGGCCAAGGATGGTGTTACCATGGCAACTAAACACAAGAAAGAAGCTCAGCAAAAAAAAAACACAAGAAAGATTTTTTTAAAGAAATGTTTTATAAATTGCCTGCCACAGGTCAAGCATTTCAATCAAATTTCTATTCACAAATGAAGGATAATATTAATCAGTTTCACCAGCAAAAGTCATTTTGAATTATGTCCAGCAATTTTTACCTACTAGAGGCCTTTGTTTTCTCTTGTTCTGTCTCTATTCAATTAATCTATTTGACTTGCCAACATAAAGGTTGTGTGCATTGTGATTTATTTTAAAGCTGTCCAATGGTAAATGAATGACATCCTCACACACATTATCAATATATTCCTAATTATGTGCTTGTCGAAGTAACGGAGATATAAATTTTTTGCTAAGGAATGTACCAGATTCCATCAGTGACAACTAAGTCAATGCTTACAGCTTTGGACCACTCCAGTCTCCACACACCTCAGGGGAAGAGGGTCACAGAATCTCTACAAAGTGTTTGGCGGTAGGTTAACTACTAATAGTTTAACGATACGGTTGCAAGCTTATAGACTCTGGAATTCTACTTACCATACAAGTGGTAAACCTTAAAAAACAAGATCACAATCTTCTATTTGAAAAAGCCGTATTTTCTCACCGAGGGGAATTATAAGGGACAGTAAAGGGCCTCAGCAAAAGTAGTTACACCAGTCGGATGAATGCCACTGCTTTGTGTCTATGATTCCCTGTACTGTTAGTGACATAAGCACAGCATATCCAACCATTTTGCCTGTGGTAGGGACGATAGCTGAATTTAGTGAACAGATCGCTACACAGCAAGGTAATGACTGCTGATGAGCAGCTCGTCGAGAAGCCAAGACGTCAGGCCACAGGACTTAAGACTCCTGGCCGGGTTTCGTAATGGACATCAATGCCATCAAAACAGGACACAGAAAATACTGGCCATTTGATTCCGGCTGTAATGCATTATGCCATGGCAACACAACATTAGACATCTATTTTGTGTTTACAATACAATTGACTGCATTCTTAGCCAAGGGGCTCAGTCTTGAGTGTGCGCCATCATCACCGTGACGGCGTCACCGTCTCCCACAACACAAGACAGTCGACAAGCAAACAAGCAATAGGTGCTCAACATGGTAGTCATGTTATCAATTTGTTTAACGACTTGTAGAGCAATTGGGGGCGACCGATGGATGAGATGGGTTTCCAATGTAAGCCATAAACACACCGTCCATTTGGTTATTGTGTTTTCTGATAGACAACTGCAAACTAGCTTTAGCTAGCAAGCTAGCTACCAAGAACAGGCCATCGTGCAGGAGAACGGTCTCAGTGAGCACCGGGCATCTGTGCTACAGTTGAGTCATTTGTATATTTGCAACCCCGTATCTCTCTCTTTAGTTCCTTAGTTTATCAAGGCTACATGACTGACAAAATAATGCTGGAAACAACGGCGTTTACCTGGATTTATCAGGTTGCCAGGGCGCGCGGGATCTTTCTATCCGAGGATCCTGAACATCTCTCGTTGTATATGACGTCACGCGTAGGTCCTCCTGCAGGACGTAAAGAGCGTGTGGTCACAAACCCCGGTTCAGACAAGAAATTCTCCAAAAGTTATGAAAAAGAACATATCAAATGTAACGACAAGTTAAAGTAAACACTAATTTAGCAGCATTAAAAGTAAATAATTTCCGTAAATATAAAAAAATGTTTAAACACCGCAACCGACTGTCCAAAAATAAGCTCACTAACTGGTATTCAGACATAATAGATATTAAGGATGAAAACCAAAAATGTTTAGAATATATCTGATCACTCCTCTTGTTGTTTTTTGTTAAGGTAAATAAAAAAGTATTATTTTGCAGTATCAAAGTTCAGTCAAGCCAGCCGGAAATATCAGTCCTCATTTGAATGCTTTTCCAACAGGAATTGCCCATATTGACAAAACAGTTTGTCACATCAATGTGACAAACTATAGCTCTCTTGGTGTTGATTCAATCTCTTTTTCGGATTAAATTTGCATTTACTCACAGCCTTAAAAACGAGTCGATGAATATTGGTGATTTACTGCATGAATATATTTTCACGCTGATTCAATAAATATTTCCTTTTAAACTTATTTGTTAACATTTAGAACAAAAAATAGGCATCTCGAGAAAATGTGTCCTTTAGCGTCCCTCTGTGGTTAACAGCAGTTGGAAATGCTTTATAAAAACAAAAAACACATTTAAAAGATATCTAAAGGATAAAAAAAAATGTCAATCAATTTTGGAAATGTGGTTTCTACAAATATATTTAAAAAATTCAGATCAGATATCGTACATTTTCCACCCATACCACTTACTTACGGTAGCTTTAGCGCATGCGTACTGAGTATCAAATGATTGGACAGCGTAGAAGCCCGGAAGCAGGCTGAAGGTCTTTGGTTATGGGAGTTTAGGTAACGCTTTTCTAGTAGAGAAGAGTGTTTAATGTGAAAATGGGAGTAAAAATTGAGATGTTTAGAGTAAGTATTTCCAATTATTGTTATTGAATATTGATATACGTTACTTTAATATTTAGAATATTCCGATTAGTTTTATCTTCCACCTAGCTAGCCATTTTTAGCGCATTTGCACAAACGCAGATGTTTACTGTAAGTAACTTATTGATCTGTTTGGTTTTCTAATGAGCAGATGATGCTGTATTTATCCTTTCCTGTGGCAATGTTTTGGGTCTCTAACCAGGCAGAGTACTTTGAAGAGTACATAGTAAAAAGAAAGGTCAGTATGTGTTATGACATTTTAAATCATGCCAAGTTATGCTTGTATTCTTGTGATAACAAACCTATCTTTTCTTGTATTGTGTCTTCCATGTTATGCAGAGGGAAATCTTCCCCCCTGATGAGTTCACACAAGTAAGTAGTACTTGCATTGTTCACGTCTCTGAAGCTATTACTAATCATTTGGATTTTACACACTACTGATTTTACTGTTGAGAGTTTGTATTTTTACACTATATGGTGCATTATTTGATTGTAATAACATCTGGTAATAACATATGTGCTATATCTTTTAGAGAAAAGAGTTGGAAGACTTCAAAGAGCGAATGCGAGTCCGTAAGGAGCAGCGAATAATAAAGAATTTTTCTGCGGACTCTGAGAATTGACGATAAAGAGCTCAAGAACTGCACAAATTCTCAGCACTGCTGGTATAGGACTATCTGGCAATATTTGCTGGCTATAAGAAAACTGCTTCATCAGGAGTAACACCAAACTACTGTATCTGGATTGCTCTCACCTTCAAAGGTGTTCAGTTCACATGAATCAATTGTTCCAAGTGTGTTTGATGTTGCTTAATTTATTTTTGTGACTTTTGTTAATACACCACTTCTCTGGTTTTGGAATTATTCTATTCAATTGCTTTAACTGGCACCACACCAGGTTTGTACATGGTAGTCAGAGTAACCATGCTCATTTAGTAAGGTACAGTGCCTATAAATTGTGTTAGCCTCATCTTTTTTTTTGTGATTTTTTTATCTTTTCCTATCGAGTATTGGGTGCGTTTCTAAAAAAAAAAAACATTGTTGTACCAAACATGACTAAATAATTATTAAAACATAAACCATTTTATGCATAAGTGTATTTACATTAAAACAAAACTGAAATATTGAATAAAAATACTGAGCAATTTACCCTCTTCAAAAAAAGATTGATTAATAAAACTTGAGTGAAAAGCAAGCCCAATGGTTTTGTTAAAAATATCAGGGTAGCTGGTCCATTATGTTCAAGGTGTCTTTTGGACAATCAGTGTATGTCAAGTCACTGTAAAGTTACAAATTACAACAGAATTTTCATGATTTGGAAGCATTTAACTGCATCCAGTGTAACATGAATATGAAGAACTTGTGTTTGTTTTTAACTGCAAAGTTAAAAAGAAGTTAAAAAAGGGCAAGAGCATTTTGAGTTTAGTCAGTGACTTTGCAGATCTGAGTTGTTTCAAATGTTTTTTTGTTCACATATCTTATGTCTAAAGACTCTGGATGGACACCATTTGTACTTGTTGCTCCTTTTCTTGTTTTTAAACAAAATGACAGTAGGGTTGTGTTTCCTATTGAATAAGATGTGTTAAGGTATATCTTATGCTATGCAGTTTAAATGTTCCCACATACTTAACCTCATATTGATTACACCACCCTGAGACCCTGTAATACTGTCATTGACTGGAGTATCAACTGATTCTGGAAAATTCTTTTAGCAAAACCATGACTTATGAATGACTTAATTCTCTTTCAGTACCCCACAATGGACAGTCTTTCATTCTACAATTGATGTACAATTAGTTTTAAAAGATTATATGTGTTTGCAGCTCTTTAAGAAACAAGTTCATGTTTGATATGGCTTATGACATATAAAATGACTCCACAGCGTACTTTAAATCAGCACCGTGTGGACATATCCAAAGGGACTGTGCTTGCCTTGTCCAAATGCTCTTAGATCTTGGCTGAAACCCTACAATGGCCAATTTATGTCACAACATATCACGATGAAGGGATGATATATGTTTCTCAAGACTCCTCAGATGATACCCTCAAATGTATTTGGCAAAGAATTGTCCTTTACTAGCCGGCTGAATGTCAGCCCATTTGTAGTCTGAAGCTAATGTTTGTTTCTTACACCTGCTTCTTATGAATATATCTTATTAATGGGGAAAGCTAGAAACTGAACAACACCATTTCAGTTTCTGTGATATGGTAAACCAATACGAATACCATCTCTCCAAACAATAGACGCAGAGTGTTAACTCACGTAATTTACCCTGAAACTATTGTTCCAGTTTGTCTCACTTACCTTTGGTCAAGGTCATATATATATAAACATTGTTGGGTTTTTATATTTACTATATTGCACATGAGATATATTTTGAAAGCCCCATGGGAACCGTGCAGTTCTCAGAATTGGAAACAGAGGGCAATATTGTACTTACAAACGCTGTGTTGAACCATAAGGAAGTGACTGACTGTCTAGTACTAGACTCCTGTCAAGATGGCACCGAGTGGACTAAAGGCGGTAGTCGGAGAAAGTAAGTGAGAAATTTGTTGAAATCTGTCAGATTTCACAAGTTTGGCGCGGATTAAGTATAAGAACAAAACGTTTATTTTAACCTTGTAGCAAAGTTAGTAGCTGACGCCCAGGTTCCATTACAAAAAGAGCCGTGTTGTGATCGTTGACGGACCAACTGTTTCTTCCTGCTTCTCTCCTAATTAATATGCTAACGTAACCGAATGAAATAATGCTTTCCTTCAACAAACTTCGGTGAAAAATAACATTGGTTAATGTCACCCTTCTGTATATGTCAGAGGAACTGAGTTGTGGTTTATTTCGTGACTTTAAGGACTTTTAAGTTTTTTTTTAAACGACGTCACTGGATGAAAAATGTTGTGACAGGCGAAATTTAAGGCTAACACTTGCTAGCTTATGTTAAAGGAAGTTCAGCAACTTTGTGAAAGATGGACACGGATCAGCTGAGCCAAGAAAGCTGTTTAAGATAGACTCAAATAAAGACTAAAATCTTTTATCAAATGATCACAATTGTCCTGACAAGATGCTTTTCAAGGTTCTTCGTTTTATAATATAAGTTTTATTACTGTTGATGGTATCTCCTAGAAAAGCTAATATTTACACAACATGAAAACCTATACAGACAAAACACATTGCTCAGTTTATCTAAAGTTTATCTATGATAGTTCATATACAGTATATGATAGAAGTTAGCTATTTTGGTTCTCAGTGAAACAAAGATGAAGTCAGCACACTGATTGAATCTTTTCCGTCTTCAGGGGTGGGGTGATGTGTGAGATTGCTACCATTTGCTTTAGTACGTGTGGTATGAAATTACCTTTTTATATTCATATTGCATTCCCCTAATGGATACTCAAACCTCTAGCTGTTTAATAGCCTTTTGTCAGTGAGAGCTTAACATTTTTTATATTATAAATAAACCCTTAATTAGATATTGATGTTACACGACCGAAGGAGTCCTAAAATAAAATAAAAGTGACAAAATATCACTACATCTTGAATAGATTTTAAGCTCATGCTTCCCTACATTTTTATCCTTAGGTTAAATACAGCCTTTTCTTTCTTGCTTGTTAACTAATACACTAGAATATCATACCATGACTCTGATGACGTCCTAATAACCAGGAAGTTATGATGTCAATTAGCATTTTAACCTTTGTCTAAATAAGCTTCTCATAAGTCATCAATTTGTTACTGCTAGCTTTTTTTTTATTAGGTTTTAAGAACACCCATCCAGGTCAGTGCAATTATTATTTCTCAGATCCTTTCTCACACTTTTTTTTGTCAGTAAGTTTTAAAAAGACGCTGACAGTAAGATGTTGACAGTTCACGGTTCAGGCTTTCTCAGGGAAACTGTTCAACTGAAGCAATAAGATAACCACATTACTCTGAAGGTTTGATACATTTTAAGGTATATTGGGCTAAGTAGGCTGTGCTCACTAAACAGTGGCAGTACACCCATTGGAAAAACTAACTACTTCTTCAAGTCATTGACATACTTGTGCTTTTGTCTGAGCTTTGTGCGTATATCTCTGTCATAATACAAGGAAGTTGCACTCAGCCAACTTTTTTTTGCAAATATTAGTTCTAAATAAATACATCTCCAGAGACTTTTGGTTTCTGATTCAGAAAGTTAAAGTGACACAACTCATTTGCAACTAATTGTCTTTTTTTATTTTTCAATGGAATGCCACAACACTTAAGAATGTATGTTTCTCTTGCCTTTCTTCTTTATCCAGGAAAAAAAAAGTTTATACATGCATATATTATTTAGGTACTCTGTCAGCGATGCCATGCTCATTAATCCTTTTTTAATCTGGAAAGGAAATCTTACTGATTATTGATAATAAATTATTATATAATAACAGGTGGAAAATTTTTTTTTGAAAGATAACCTTTAGCAGAAAGATCTGTTATACAACTCTTAAGAGGTCGCCTTGTTGTTTTTGTTGCTCTGCAAAAACCTGGCTAATGATGTCACATACAGCTTTGACAGGTTAGGGTTTTGTCTGTGGATGATGATTAATTGTTTAAAAGCAACTCAATGCCTCCAGCTCTTTATCTCCATTCACTTTCTTCACATACAGTCTTAAAGTTGAGTTTATATATTTATAACAATATGAATGTATTTTTCTTCATTCTTCCAGAAATTCTCAACGGGGTCATTAAGAGTGTAAAGAAGGATGGAGAATGGAAGGTAATAGTTGCCCACTAACTTCAGAGAAATCTTTTTTTCTTTTTTATTTGTTTGTTTTGTTTTCACATTGATTTAATTCATGACCACAGATATTCTTTTTTTCTTCTTTAGGTTTTAATTGTGGATCACATGAGCATGCGAATTCTGTCGTCTTGCTGCAAGATGTCGGACATTTTGGCAGAGGGCGTCACTAGTAAGTTAGTAGATGACCTTGTCACATGAAACATGAGATAAGGAAACAAACTAAACAGTCATGGGAACATTTGCAGTACAGCCGAAGAAGTGGAGTTTAGTTTATGACCTTCGACACACAAAATGCTCATCCGTGCACTTTTTATTTTTTAGAAGCACGTGGTTAACTCAAGTTCCTGAAGTTGATTTGCTTCTTTGCTTTTTTGACTTTCTAGTTGTGGAGGACATCAATAAACGCAGGGAGCCCATCTCCAGCTTGGAGGCCATTTATTTGATTACACCAGTGGAGCAGGTTAGCTCTCTCCGTTTTCCTAAATCTGCATCTTTCAAAGTTTGAAATAAATTAGTTTAAAAAGATTGTTTTCTTGTAAATCCTCTATAAACATCTGTTCAATTGCAGTCAGTCCATGCTCTCATTAAGGACTTCAAGGATGCCGCTTTCACTTACAAAGCCGCACACATTTTCTTCACTGACAGTAAGACTGGCACTTTTCAAAACTGTTTAGTTTCTGATACATGGGAACAACTAAAGTTACAAAAGATATGGAAAATTTCAAATAAGATATGTTTTTTTATAGCCTGCCCTGATGATCTCTTTGCTGAGATTGGGAGATCCAGACTGGCCAAGGTTGTCAAGACTTTAAAGGAGATCAATGTTGCGTTCCTGCCATACGAGTCTCAGGTAGGTAATTTTCCTCAGTGCTTTTTTGAGTTGATTAGTTAGAACTATTTCTAGTATCAAGCTTATAATTTAATGTTTCTGGTGTGGTGGTGTGGCAAATATCACGGGGAGACAAACACCAAGACTACATAAAAATGTCCAAATATTGGACAATATTTTTATTTGCTAATGTAGTGGCAGGTTGATTGCTTTTTTAAAATGGAAATAAATCCAAGGTTTCATCCCTTCAGGTATTCTCCCTGGATGACCCAACTTCGTTGTACTCTTTCTACAGTTCTAAGCCTGTTCAAGGCAAAGAGAAAAAGATGGAAAATCTGGCAGAGCAGATTGCAACACTCTGTGACACACTAAAGGAGTACCCTGCAGTCCGATACCGCAAGTATGGAAACCCTGCTTGACAGTTCTTTGGATATTGTTGAAATCGATCAATAATGTCACGCTCTCTTTCTAAGGGGGCCTGAGGAGAATGCTAGGCTGGCTGAGGAGGTGTACCAGCGCCTTACCGCTCACAAAGCAGACAACCCAAGCATGGGAGAGGTTAGACGCTACTGAGAAACTACCTGCACCAAGCCCAATATTCTCTGCTCTACTCTTTTTTTATATTTATTTATAATTATAAAAAGAAATGCTGAGGCCAATACTACTTTTTTCTGCTAAAACAGCTTGTCCTGTAATAGATAAAGTTATATTAGGACTCTAGAGCTCATTATCTTCACGAGTTATGGAAATTTCTTTGGTTTTTGGCTTTTCTTTTTTTTTGGGGGGGGGTGTTTTTCTCATTCTTTGCTGGAACTTTCCCCTTTTTCCTTCTTCTTCTCTGTCTTTTTTTAGCTGACCTTTCCTTGCTCCTGAGATGAGTCTTAACAGGCAGGTATTACTGTTTGCATTTTTGCCCCCACATATCTTGAGTTCACCAACATGTCCATCTAAGCATGATCTGTGTGTTTTCACTGAAATCAGATTTACATATTAACTGAAGTACAGCCTCATGCTGTTGCAAGCAGCGATACCGAACTCTTGGGGAAAGAAAAGTTATGTGACTTTTACTGCATGGTACTGAATAGCTGTGTCGGCACATGCACAGTAAACTACATCACATATGTAGTAAATAATTGAATGACATCTCATGTTACACCAGTTTTAGATGACACCCTGAATGTGCTTCCCTTTTTGTTTATTTTATTGAATTATTTTTTTATTTAAGGGTCCAGATAAAGCTCGATCTCAGCTGCTGATTGTTGATCGTGGGTTTGATCCCATCTCCCCTCTTCTTCACGAGCTGACCTTCCAAGCAATGGCTTATGATTTGCTGGATATCAAACAGGATATCTATACGTGAGTAAACCTAGGACACTACATAAGTTAATGATTGTATGCCTTGTAATGTTTGTTTGCTTATTTTGGTATTATACCCACACTTAAATCATCTGTATGACTGTTTATAAGTTACCAGACCTCTGGCATTGGCAATGCAAAAGACAGAGAAGTGTTACTGGATGAAGATGATGAGCTCTGGGTTCAGCTCAGGCATATGCACATTGCAGATGTAACAAAGTAAGTTTTTTAATTTATTAACTTATTTTTTCCCTTTTTAAAAATGTATTATTGTGCTATTGACAACTTCAGGTCGCGGTCCTTTACGTTTTTTTGAGATTCTCCCTTGACATGACACCATCTCGGTGTGACATAATTAATGGTGTCATGTGTAAGGTGACTCCTCTTTTTCTACATGACTTGTTGCAGGAAAGTGACAGAGCTTTTTCGCAACTTCTGTGAGAGCAAGAGAATGTGTACTGACAATGTGAGTGTTGTGTTAAAACCCAGTGTTTTCTACTTAATACAGATGTCCTCAGTTAAACATGAGCATTTGTGTTTTATGATATGAGTTTGATAAAATGAGGATTTGAATTTCAGGCGAACATAAAGGATCTCTCTCAAATGTTAAAGAAGATGCCACAGTATCAGAAGGAGCTGAGCATGGTCAGTGACAATAAGACAGCTACCATTTTTTTTGGATCTGTTTAATGATCACGGTTTTCTGTTTGTTTAGAATTTTTTTGTTAATATTTGAAACCCTGAATTGATTCATCTCTGATAAAAACCCATTAAAAACCCAAATCAGAGCTACTTTGAAAACAAAAATGAGCTGCTTCATGTTCTTTTCCATCTTTTTAAATGTTATTGTTCGAAACTTTTTTTTTTGTTGCTGTTGCTTCATGTTGTTTAATGGTGAATCTATGCAATCTGTTTACAGTACTCTACACATTTGCACCTTGCAGACGCATGCATGAAGAAATTCAAGGCCAGTCTCGATAAACTATGTGAAGTGGAGCAGGTCAGTTACTTTAAAAGGTTGTCCCAGAGCTATTTTTGTACTTGTGCCTTAATTCCCCATACATCCGTATGCCCATCAAAAGATAATCCATGAAGCTGTAACGTACATATGATAAAGGATTATCTATAATATTACGCTTTTACAGTGATACTAAGTATCTTTAAGTGAATTTCTCATTTGTTAGACCTGTGACCGTGACTTTATTAAGACCCCCTTTGGTGTATTTTGAAATGCCACCAGAACTGTGTTGGATTTTAATGGAAAATTGCAATGAGAATATTACATAAGAAGCTTGGGAACATATATCTGCATCCATATGTCTGCATAAATGCGATAAAGCATTACATTACTCACGGTACTGTGAGTGTAACAATGTTGGAAAAAAAATATGCACCACATGGTATGGTACAAACCCCTCTGTGAAGTAACTGGGACAAAGCCACAATTCAGACCAGACATGCTCCTAGAGAATATGTGTCAGGACACATTTAGTCCTGTGTGAAATGAATCAGAAGCCAACTGGAAATTATGAGCTATGCATGCTTGTAGCATTATGAGGTTCAAGTGTTAATGGAGCTGTTTTTAAATGCTTAAATCACTCAACTTCACTAAAGGATTGCCAGCATGTCTGGAAGCTGCCTCTTTAATCCAATGGGCATGTTTTGGCTCTAAAATGGACAGAGTGATCCAAACAGTAATAGTTGTCTAAGCTGCCATTTGTCAAAGAGTATGTTGTTCAAGCAAATAGGACTAAATTTATGAATGCAATGTTGTTAGCAAAGTGATCTCTCGGATGATTACAAAGGGATGTTGCCAGCTGGCCCAAATAAAGCTTGGACCAAATTCTACATTAAGCTCAGTAAAGGCTTTTTGGGTGATCCTAAAGCAAGATTTTAAGCATAACCCAGGTGGGATTTCAATTATCTAAAAAGTTCATACATCACAGATATCACTCTGGAGGGATTTTTTGTTCATGCTGTGCACTTTGTCATTTTAAAGTATTATTTATCTGTTTGTCTGAAAAAAAAAAGACATTTTGACATTTTCTAAAGCTGTATCTAATTTTAGTTATCCCAGCATTGGCCTTTGACCATTGACCGTTTTAAAGAATAGGTCAAAGTACTAAATCCGTTTCTGTATTTTTAACAGTTGTGGTTGTAAAAACATAACGACAACAAAAATAAAATAAAATAATGGAAATAAAGTACAAAGCAAGTTATCTTCCTGTTGACTCTCAGCTGGCATGTTAATGACTGATAACTGAGTAGGAGTCACTATTTATCCATAAATGTCTTCAACAGGACCTGGCAATGGGATCAAATGCCATAGGGGAGCCTTTAAAAGATGCCATGAAAAGCATTGTTCCTGTACTCCTCAACAATGACATCGAGGCCTATGACAAAATCCGCATCATTCTGCTGTACATTTTCCACAAGAAAAAAGGTCTGTTCTTGATAAATAAATGTTCAATCCTGTATATGAAGCTATTCATGTTATCAAGTCTATATTTTAAGGGATCAATCAATAGAAGCTAACAAAATGTTCTTAATACTGTAGTCATGTTTACATTCCTCCTTTCATGTAGGCATTGCTGAGGAGAACTTTACCAAGCTCATCCAGCATGCAAACATACAAGGAAAGAGCGACATTATAACTAACCTGCAGAACCTGGGCTGCAACATCATAGCTGGGGTGAATTTTGTGAATAGTTTGATATTGATAGTTCTACTATCATGCACTTATTTCCTAAATGTATAAATGTATGATTTTTAAAATGTTTTTTGTCAGGGTCCCAATGCTGGAAAAACACTCCCAGACCATAAGGAGAGACTAGAGAGTACATATGAACTCTCGAGATGGACACCCATCATCAAAGACATCATGGAGGTACGACTGCCTTTGTTAGGTGTCAGATGTTCTTGGTTTACTTGTTCAGTTTTAGTAATTGAAACCAATTGGGTTTTCATTTTTTCAGAATGCCACTGAAGACAAACTGGACAGGAAACAGTGGCCCTTCATCTCTGATCCTGCACCGATTAATACAACTCAGACTGCAGTCAGGTAGGTCCTGGAAGCACTTAATTAATTATTTATAATTATAATAATTATAAATGGTAGCAGGTCATTCAGCTAATTGCCCGATGAATTGCTGAACATTTGTTTTTCAGCAGTGCACGTTTTGGACACTGGCACAAGAACAAATCTCCAACAGAATATCGCTCTGGGCCTCGGCTCATTATTTTTGTGATTGGTGGGGTGTCGCACTCAGAGATGCGTTCTGCTTATGAAGTCACTCAGGCCACCGGTGGGAAATGGGAGGTGCTTATTGGTAAGTAGTTGCTTCAGGCAAAACTGAATCTGTCTTCGAAAAAAAGTGTTGTTTCTTACCTTTCCTTAATTTATTTTTCTTTCAAAAGGGTCATCTCACATCCTGACTCCAACAACCTTCCTCGATGATTTAAGTACTCTGGACAAAGATCCCAGTTCTGAGTCTTAAATAGTCCCTTTGCAGGAGAGAACTCATGAAAAAGCTACAGTCTGTTGTTTGATTGTTGGCTTGTATTGTATGTAGGTATTCTGGCATAAAAAGTAAATTATGAAGAGAGGTCTTTGATGTATTCATGGAAGGAAATGTTTGATTCTTTATTTTATTGTTTGATTTCTATTTTATAACTCGTTCTGAATTAGGTTCTGCATTCTGTTAATTTGAAATGATAATATTGAAGTGGTTATGATAGTTAATTATGTGATAGGAAATCATATGATTGTAGAATTGTCATTTTTTGTTTGCTCTTTGTTTGATTTTGTCTAATTATGAACATGATCATCACGCATCATCTGCATGACAATGAAAATGTAGTGTAGTCGGTTGCCAGTACAAGAATATATACAAGTAAATAAAAATGTCTTTTATGTTTTCTTTAAGTTTTTTTGTTTTCTATTTCCATATTTGTGAAAGCTTGCTCTGGACAGTCTCAACTGCTGTAATATTACATTATTTGACTAATTTAATACTGCACATTATTATGTACTTTATTATATTTTTGGGAGGCAGTGTGATGGGTGTTTCTTTCTTGTATCATTAAACAATAAAGAAAACATTTGTTTCAAGTAGCGTTTCGGGCCTGTTTGCTGCGAAAACATTTGTTGTGGTTGTTTTTATTTTAAGTCATTTTATGGTCCACAGACCTTTTTAGTTTGCTTCAGTTTATGCAGGAAATGGTGTTGGAGCAAAAAAAAGAAATTGATAGCTAGCTCAAACACTGACATAGCTTTGTGGGCATTCCAGCATCTGAGAGCAATATTGACATTTATGTTTGTAAGGCAGCTAGCAACTGAATTGGAAATCAAGTGCTGAAATGAAAAATGACAAAGCTCTTTACATGTGCTGGTAAATATCATATCAATGGCAGATTTGCTGGTGTAATGCGCTCGCACCATAATGTTGATGGGAGCTTCTAAATAAACAAATTGGAACCCGAGCAAAGTGTTAGGTCAGGAGGAAGTATGTGTAGACCTACCGGTTACAGAGATCATCCCTCTCCATGCTCAGGATTATGTTTTCATCTGGGATTACTGATGGTAATATTAAGAATGGGCCACTGGCTTGGGTCTTAATAGCAGTAAGATAGTGCTCAGTACTGGGAGCTTTATTTAAATCCACTTTGCTGTGTCATATTAAGCAAGAGTTTGCAGTAGCGTTTACTTGGAATCATTTCTACTTTGCGTAATGCAATGCCACTGAAAAGTGTCTAACGAAGGCTCCTACAGTGTGAAGACAACTAATTTTGTTACAACTTTCTCTTTGCCTAGCATTCAGTTTTGGTCTTTTTTTTGTGCTGTTTTTATATTTAGTATGATGGCATCCGCTGGAGTTGACTTAAATTCAGAAACTGCTGATATACAGGTAAAGTGTGTAAAGTGTTGTGATTTTATTGGGTTATTTTTGTGTAGTGTTTCTTCCAGTGTTTTTTTTTTTTTTTTTTTAATTGTGTCATCTCCTTCACACTGCTTACATCAAGTAAATTGTTTTAAATACTACCTTTCTGTATGGGCTGTTACCCACTTTATTAGGTATATTGAGTTAACAAGTTAAAAATGTCAATTTTGATGTTAGATTAAGAGTGAATGTGAGTGTGTGTGGCTGTTTGTCTTTGTTTGTCCATATGTGTGATGCGATGGACTGGTAGACTGTCCAGGGCGTACCCTGCCTCTTACCCATTGAATACTGGAATAGGCTCCAGTCCCCCCGTGACCCTATTTGATAATAAGTGGTTCAGAAAATAGATGGATGTTAGATTTGTGTTCAATATCGCCATCTTTGTCCTGGAACCTAAATAATTGAGTCTATTTAAAACGTTCTTTGTTTGCTTTTCAAACCTCTGAAAAATAACCATTAGGGTTTGACTCCTCAGATTTCTGTGACCCAGAGTTCTCCAGATGGGGATAGCAAGCAGTTGTTGGAACCAATCAATCGGCTGGAAGTTCCCCCTCAGCGACATCGCTCTAGTTCTTTGAAGGTCTGTTCTCTAAATCTGTGTCATTCTGTTGAGCATGAAAATCACAAGTCCCTACTGACTGGTGAATTTCATTGCTGTTTCATGTTGGCATGATATTTTTCTTGAACAGACAGAATCACCGGAGGAACAACTACTGTTCATGAATATGATCTCCCACGGCCAGCGTGGACGTATAGATGACCAGCGCTGCACATTGGATCCTTGCAGAAGTGCTCCCTGCTCTCCCAAACATACAGACAAAAACTCAGCTCCAAGTAAATTAACTATCTTTGGTCATAATATTATGATAGATACAGGTTCAAACAAGTTGCATTGAATTGTAATTTTGCTCCAGATCCAGAAACGTTTTTCAGTCTTCTGGCCGACACTCAGAGTCGACGGCTGGATGACCAACGAGTGTCTCTTCCAGCATTACCAGGACTGAGGAATGAAAACCGCACTTCTGCTGGAGACTCAAGCTACCTGTGCTACATGCTCTCCAAAGTCCAAGTTGTTGCATTTTGTTTTGTTTAAAGGAAAAATAACTTTCAATGGAAAAACTAACAAGCATTGAATAAACAGCACGGATATGTGATTGATCCAGCCCAGAAATAGTTTAGACATGTCAGCCTGCATGTATGAAGAAAAAAAACAGAACATGTTTTCATTTTTACCAAAAATCTATGCTGACATCTATAGTTGAAACTCTTCAAATGTATTTCTTGTTTTGTCATGTTGTTTTATGCATTTTCAGGGTTCCAGAATGGATGACCAAAGGTGTTCCCTCTCTCAAACTCCAATCCCAGAGACAGAACGTGCCCCATTTAATGAAAAATCCACTTCTGGTTCAGGCGCCGCACGTTCAGCCTCCTTCAGCCCTGGCACAGATATAGGAACAAAATTAATTAAAGACCAGAAATCTCAAAAACAGGTCTGTAATCAAGCCGAAGTTTTGTCACTAGTCATCCATTTTATGGAATAATTCGGATTATTCATTTGCTTCTAAATCCATGGCACTGACTCTTTTTTTTATTATTAAGGTCTTGTGTCCAGATGAACTTGATAGTTTTATGACGTTAATGAATCATTCAGAAAATCGAATGGATGATCAGCGATGTGTGTTGAATGGTCCACGAACCACACCCAAACACCAGCTCAGTCAGAAGACACAACCCCAAGGTTAGTATTATAAAATTGACATGTTGATAATAAAATATAATCATGGAAACACTTAATAGCACAGCTTACATTTTCTATTTTTTCACAATGTCATGCCCAGATTCTGAAAAGCTCCTCAGCTTGCTGGAAAGCCTTCAAGGCAGTCGTATTGACGACCAACGAATTTCTCTCCCTTCATTACCAGGAATACAAAATGGAGGTAGCACATCAACATTAACTCCCGCAGAGAGGGATGCAAGCCAATTGTGCTATATGGTTTCAAGAGTCCAGGTTAGCCACAAATGCAGCTTGTTCCCCTGTTTCACCAGTTTAAAACATCTCTCAGTCCACTTTGCAGGGATCATAATATTTTCTTCCTTCAGAGTTCAAGGATGGATGAACAGAGATGTTCTGCACCCCAGGTCCTGCAGAGTCTGACCCCGTCTGCTCAGCGCAAAAACAGCCCATCAGACACATCTGGTAAACCTCCACAGACGTCTGCCTCTTATAAAATCGACAAATGTCGGCAGGTCAGATATCGTTCTCTGCAATACACAATTGCTAGCTTTACCCATACTGATTCTACGCAGTAATACTTTTTTTGGGCAAGGGACACTTTTTCTCCATTTTGATATAGATGTGTCATTATGTCACAGCTAATTTGAGTGACAATGGCAGTTTCTTTTTTTTTTTCATTAACTAAAATAGGAGGCATCTCTATCAACTGAACAGAACCAATTGATTAAGATGATGACACATGCTCAAAGTGGACGTTTGGAAGATCAACGCTGCTCTCTGCAGTCCAGCCGAAGTACTCCTGTCACACCAACGCACCATGGTTAGGCTTTGAACAATGCACCCATAAGTCAGGCAAACACACTGGACACAAAAGATTAAACGTACTTGCTGTGTCTCCGACCTTGGAAATAACTATTGACCCTCCTTAACAGGGACGGCTGATTTACCAACAGATGATCAACATGTTGCACTTGTTGCTCCAGCAGGAATACACAGAAAATCTGACACAAAGGAAAACAGAAGCAATACAAATACTTATAGCCCGGTAAGTAGCACATTAAGTGTGAATTATTGAACAAAAAAAAACAATGTGATTCATTATTCCTTATAGGTTATGTTAACCATCTGAATAGTACTGGAATTTGTTTCAACTTCATATTTGTGAATTGTTCTTCTTATCTATTTATTTATTTTTTACTTTCTGAGGCCTCTCCACCACTCATAACAGTGGATGAAGGTACTCCAGCCACATCTAGGAAGTACTATTCCAGGAGCTGCTCTCAACCACAAATAACTTATGAAGAGCCGGGCTCTATTTTGTCCCTTCCCAAATCTGCGTCATTTACTCCAGAAACAGAATATCAGAAAGACCCCAATTCCCCAGCAACGGTGAGCAAAACACTCCTTTATTTCCATAAATGATTGAATGATTGAATAATTGAATAGCACCTGCTTATAATTTGCCTGAGTAAATTGAAATTTTTTAATGATAGCATGTTTTCTTTTTACAGTTAACAGTGAGGGTGTCCATGAGCGTCACACCGCAGCCAGTAAGCTCTCTTAACGCATAATGAAATTTTGATCTGGTTCAAAGTTAGTTTCAACAAAAACTTCCATTAACACTTAATTTTTTTGTCTGTTACAGGGACAGAAGCACGATTATCAGATTCCTGAAGTTTTTCTAACTATCGGTGCTCCAGGAGAAAACGTTGTAATACCTCTGAGTCCAGTATTCGGCAGGCCCTTATCTTTAGATTTGAATCTTGTCCCAAAAAAAGAAGGTAAAGGCAGACATCTCTCTCCAAGATGTGCAAGTCCCAGAAAATCCCCTTCACGTCCATCATCTCCCTTTCGTGGTCCGAATACTAAGGCACAGTTTGAGCAGGGGAAAGTTATGAGCTGCCAAATCAGTCCAGATGAGGACTGCTTCTCTCTGATTGAGAAAGTACACACAGCCCAGCTGCACAAAGGAGATCAGGGAGGTCAGAAATGTAAAGCTGATCCCGGAAAGGGAAAAGCAATTGGAAAGAAGGAAAAGAAAAATTCTGGTAATAGGTAATCGTAACCTAGAATTTGAGCTAAATATGAAATGCACTGAATTTGTTCCCAGAAATGTTTTTGCTGTTTTGTACTGTCGACTGTCAACAGTTAGAAGCTCCTGGTAGAGTTAAGATATAATTTCATGTTAGAGTTTGGTAAGTAAATTATCTGAATAGTGTGTAGTGGTTGTTCTTGTTCATTTTGGAGCTCTGGAGTCAGTTAGACGTCATTGCTTTTCTTTGTCAAATTTGAATGTGACATATACAAATAAATATGTAACTGATTAATCTGCTAATAAATTGAAAATGTTAAATAACATGGATTCAAAACCACAGGTCTTGCAAATGGTTAGTGTATGACAAAAACATATATTATATGATTAAAAAAATTCTAAACACCCAATCCTTTCCTCTGATTTTGGTTTTTACTTCGAGTTAAATGTTGAATCTTCCTTCCTCAGGACCATAGTTTGAGGTGAAAACAGACTGACAGATCATGGTCATCTACAATTGGCACAAAAAAATGAGCAGAAATTCACCTTGTCTTTCAGGTGAAAGCTCATACTATTTCAGGTTTTATCATCTCAGTGTAAAGTATGAAAGAGAGGACCTTTGATTTTTTGTAAAGTTTATTGAAGATTTACAGAAGTTTATTTCTGGGTACATATTTTATGAACCCATCCATGATTCCACTTGGTGTTGCTCCTCATTCAGCTGAGTCACTTGCCTGAAAGGGAGGAAGACAGTTTGAGCAAAAAGTATGCAAATAGACACATATAGATAAAGTATGTAAATGATTTACAAGTGATACTGATAAGAGAGAAAACGTTACCTTTCCAGCATCTCGGCTCTTGGCTCTGAGCTTGTTGACCTGAGACTCAGCGATGTCAGCACGTTCCTGAGCCTCCTCCAGCTCATGCTGAACTTTTCTGAGCCTGGACATGTGAGTGTTGGCCTGCTCCTCCTGGGAGGAAAATTGTATTTTAAAGGTTAAATTACAATGCAGCTATTGTCGCTTTTATCAAAAAAAGTATCAAAACTAAGACCACCAGTCAGTCATGTTTCACTTACAGCCTCCTCAGCCTGTCTCTTGTAAGCTTTGA